TAGCGCCTTTCTAGTCTTCTTTTCGACCACTCAAAGCGCTTTTTTACACTACATCTGCATTCACCAGTCATACACATTCATACACTGAGCCTAAGTGCTCAAACAGAAACTAACATTCACACACATTTATACACTGGCAGAACAGCCGCCAGGGGCAATTCAGGGTTCAGTATCTTGGACACTTCGGTTCAGGACTCACCTGAACCAGCCCTAACTATAAGCTTTATCAAAGAGGAAAGTCTTAAGCCTACTCTTAAATGTGGAGATGGTGTCTGCCTCCTGAACCCAAACTGGAACCTGGTTCCACAGGAGAGGAGCTTGGTAGCTGAACGCTCTGGCTCCCATTCTACTTTTGGGGACTCTAGGAACCACAATGGTGCCTGACCATTAAGAGCTTTGTAGGTAAGAAGAATGATTCTATTCTGGATTTTACTGGAAGCCAATGCAAAGAAGCTAAGACAGGAGAAATGTGATCTCTTTTCCTGGTTCCTGTCAGAACATGTGCTGCAGCATTCTGGATCAGCTGAAGAGTCTTAATGGACTTTTTCGAGCAGCCTGATAATAGGGAATTGCAGTAATCCAGCCTAGAAGTAACAAATGCATGGACTAGTTTTTCTGCATCATTTTTAGACAGGATATTCCTGGAATTCCTGATTTTTAGTCTTTGAAATTTGCTTAATGTGAGACTTAAACGACATGCCCTGATCAAAGATAACTCCAAGATTCCTCACAGTGGTGCTGGAGGCCAGGGCGATGCCATCAAGGGAAACTATATCTTTAGATAATGCGTCACGGAGGTGCTTGGGCCCCAGAACAATAACTTCAGTTTTATCTGAGTTTAACATTAGAAAATTACAGGTCATCCAGGTTTTAACATCCTGAAGGCACATTTGAAGTTTAGCTAACTGATGAGTTTCATCTGGCTTGATCAATAGATATAACTGAGTATCATCTGCATAACAATGAAAGTTTATGGAATATTTCCTGATAATATTGCCTAAAGGAATCATATATAATGTGAACAGTATTTGTCCGAGGACAGATCCTTGAGGTACTCCATGACTAACTTTGGCATGCATGGAGGACTCATCGTTAACATGTACAAACTGAAATCGATCTGATAAATAGGACTTAAACCAGCTTAGAGTGGTTCTTTAAATGCCAATGAAATGTTCCAGTCTCTGCAATAGGATCTGATGGTTGATGGTATGAAATGCAGCACTAAGATCTAGTAAAACCAGTACAGAGACAAGTTCTTTGTCTGATCCAATAAGGAGGTCATTACTAAATTTTCACCAGTGCTGTCTCTGTGCTATGATGAACTCTAAATCCTGACTGAAAATCCTCAAATAAACTATTGCTCTGTAGAAAGTCACACAGCTGTTTAGCAACTGCTTTCTCCAGGATCTTACAGCTACTTTAAAGTACTGTGGTACATAGCCTGTTGATAAAGATAGATTGATCATATCTTGTATAGAAGTACTGACTAGGGGTAAAACATCTTTAAGCAGCCTAGTTGGGATGGGGTCTAAGAGGCAGGTTGATGGTTTAGATGAAGAAATTATTGAAGTTAGTTGGTAAAGATTGAGAGAAGCAAAGCAGTCTAAACATATATCTGGCTTTACAGTTGTTTCTAAGGTTCCTGAGTTTAGAGATACGTCAGTGCCAGTTGAGGGCAGGTCTTGGTGAATTTTGTTTCTAATAGTTAGAATTTTATCATTAAAGAAGCTCATGAAGTCGTAACTACTGAGAGCTATGGGAATACTTGGCTCAATAGAGCTGTGACTCTCTGTCAGCCTGGCTACAGTGCTGAAAAGAAACCTATACGCTATAATTCGCTGCCCTGGCATTACGGAGGGCCTTCCTATAAGTTTTAAGACTATCTTGCCAAATTAAACAAGAATTTTCCAGTTTGGTGGAACGCCAATTCCTCTCAAGTTTCCGCGATATTTGCTTTAATTTGCGAGTTTCAGTATTATACCATGGAGATAACCGTCTTTGTTTTATTATTTTCTTTTTTAGAGTCGAGTGTCATTCGCAGCGAGCCTGCAGCACTATTTTTTTCTCAATGGCGTGTAGTTCAGCAATACAAACTCAAAAATTATCAAACAGTGGTTGGATAAAGAGGGATTCTGTGGGAACACTATTAAATGTTCAATTTCAATACCGTATACCAAAACAAGGTCGAGGGTGTGGTTAACAGAGATCACAGCAGCAGGCTCAAACAATGAACAGATGATGCAGCTGTGCCACAGGTCATACTGTATTTAATTGACGTCGCTTTAACATGACAGCTCTGAGGCAAGGACATCTAATTTTGTTAAATGCCCTTCACAAATCATAATGCGCAAAAACCCAACACAACGGTGGATCTATGGTATTAGATGTAGTAAGAGATGCACAGATTACATTTTTCTGGCTGATTCCAGTTACTGATTTTTTAAAAGGTGTGACCTGCCAATTCTAATTTCTTCCAATTTTGATTTTCTTTCTTTCTAAGATCTTTAACTGACAACAAACACAAACATTTGTGTTACTATGCATTGAGTAAATTTGTAGTCTAATTATCTTCACAGTGTTCTTATTGTAGTTGAAATCTCTATTGTGTATTTTATGGGCTCTTCTTTTATGAGTAATATGATTAAGATGTAAAGGTACAACTGCAGATAAGGTCCATTGTAATAGAAAAAAAGGAGCCAGCGCAGAGGGGGAATAATCCGAGACAGAATTTAATTTCCAAGATTAATCTACAAGTAAAAAAACTTGAATATTCTCTGACATTATAGTCACATATTTATGAGACAAACTTCACTTTGCAAGGCTGTACACACATGTCTGCCGTGTAGTATGCATGCACTGGAAAGTTATATTAAACTTTGCAATCGGATTTAGCAGTGAGGAAATATTCCTGAGTTTAGCCCACCAATCCGATCGCATCTCATGCATCACGTATACACGCTATGGGAAAGCCATGTCTATTGTATGCAAAACGGCGATTTTTTGTTGAGAAATACAGAGCATGCAACATTGCGAAAAAACTCTACCTGCATGGCCTAACACACCCCTTTTATATAGGTTGTTAAACAAGCTACCAAATAAGCTAGGTAATGTTATAATAATAGAGTGGGCTCATGGAAAAACAATAGGTTGTCATAACTTTTTGTCATGATTAATTTATTAATGACTCAACATCATCTGTATTAAAGACAAAATAATCAGTTCATCCAATGTTTAAAGTGCATAAAACAGCCCTGCCAGCCTCCTTAACATTACTGGAGCTCCACAACTACTGGCGGATTTGAAATGGTTTTCTGCCACCGGACTCCTGTGAGCGGGAAGCAGGCAAGTGGACCAAACCACTGTGAGGCTAGAGAGGTGTGACTCAAAATGTTTCTAAACTTAAAAAGCACTTTAATCGCTGAGTTTGCGTTTGTATTGTTTTACTATTTACACAATTATTTTAAGTATATATCATATTATTTGATGTTTTTAAGGGGGGGACACCCCTCAAATGGGGGGTGTCCTCTTTGTGGATTTCAGCTCTGCTTTTAACACCATCATCCTGGCCCTGCTGCAGGACAAGCTCTCTCGGCTGAATGTGCCTGACTCCACCTGCAGGTGGATCACTGACTTCCTGACGGACAGGAAGCAGCACGTGAAGATGGAAATACATGTCTCTGATTCCAGGACCATCAGCACCGGATCCCCTCAAGGCTGCGTTCTTTCCCCCCTTCTCTTCACCCTGTACACTAACAGCTGCACCTCCAGTCACCAGTCTGTCAAGCTCGGATGACACCACCCTCATTGGGCTCATCTCTGGTGGGGATGAGTCTGTCTACAGGTGGGAGATCAACCATCTTGTGACCTGGTGCAGCCAGAACAGTCTGGAGCTCAATGCTCTGAAGACCGTGGAGATGGTCTTGGATTTTAGAAAGAACCCAGCCCCACCCTCCCCCATCATCCTGTGTGACTCTCCAGTCACCACTTTGGACTCCTTCCGCTTCCTGGGTACCAGCATCTCCCAGGACCTCAATTGGGAGCTGAACATCACCTCCCACACCAAGAAGGCCCAGCAGAGGATGTACTTCCTGCGGCAGCTGAAGAAGTTTAGCCTGCCAAAGACTGTGATGGTGCACTTCTACACCACCATCATTGAGTCCATCCTCACCTCCTCCATCACCATCTGGCACGCTGCTGCCACTGCCAGGGACAAGGGCAGGCTGCAGCACATCATTCGCTCTGCAGAGAAGGTGATTGGCTGCAATCTTCCTTCTCTTCAGGACCTGTACTCCTCGAGGACTCTGAGGCGAGCAGGAAAGATTGCAGCTGACTCCTCCCACCCCGGACACAAACTGTTTCAGACTCTCCCCTCTGGCAGGAGGCTGCGGTCCATCAGGACCAAAACTTCTCGCCACAAAAACCCGTCTGCACTAGCCTCATTAACAAGGCCCAGGTCCCCCACTGACACTCCCCCCTTGCAAATGATACAAATGTCTCAGCACATGTAAATACTGTTTCATCTCATCGGGCACAGACCTGGCACGTCGCACATATTTGTTGTTGATTGTTGATCTTTTGTTGTATATTTTTATGTTGTCCATTTATATATTTATATGTACACAATATTCTCTTCCGTTGCGTCACTTCTGCACGGCACAGACCCAGAATAATGCACATGGATATCTGCAACATTGTTCTTCCATTCCATATTTATATATTTCTATATTTATTTATGTTGACTGTATGTTTGTCTACGTGTAGCACCTTATCAACACAGCAAATTCCTCATATGTGTAAAACACTACTTGGCTTTAAAGCTCCTTCTTATTCTGAAACCATTTACCTCTACAAAGGTGAATATGTACACAAGTTACAGTTCACTGTCAAAGAAACAAGAAAGGGAACTCCACCCAACTGTTACATCTAAGACAAATATGGCAGTAAAAAGGCATGATAAAACTGGACAAATGCAACAAAATTATGGTGATTGTCTTCCGCAGCTTTTATATGAAGAGTGGGCAAACTACAGCGTCTTCTACAAGTACCAGCCCCTCGGACTTGTGCGGTAAGGACACTTTTTTTAGGTATAATAATTTATTTAGGATTATTCATTCATATATCGTATTCATCAGCCAGGGCTCTTATTTTGAAGGACTGTAATAGCAGCTCATTGCTTGTACATATTATACTTGTATATCATATGCTTTTTTAATAACATGGCAGTAAGTATACCACATTGTAATCCTTCATTCTGCTAACAGGTTTATAACAATAAAATTATAATTAGTTCATTTGTCCCCATGGGGAAATTCCCTCTAATGGTAATTTTACACATGCAAACAAACACACACAGTGATGGGTCACCACAGCGCAGTGCCCCGAGCGGTTAGGGATGAGACGCCTTGCTTATAGGCATCTAATACGCCAGTGCCCTGGAGGTGAATTGGCATCTCTCCAGCTATCAGCCCGCCTCTGTATCGACTGACTTGATTCATTTAGGCCACCCTCCAGTTCGAATCCTTATGGACTGAGCTACTGCGAGTTGAAATAAGTTTAATGCCACTATGAATTTGAAAATGTCAGATGTTGGTAATAATTTATGGTTGTGTAAATGTACTTAAAAAGAATCCCTTCACAAAAGACAGGTAGTGTGGTCAAGGGTGCTGTGTGGAGAAGTCTTTCTAGGGCTGCCCCTGACAAAGAATTTTTAGTCAACAGTAGTCGTTAGTTAAAGCTATTTGGCCACTAGTGACATTTTTAGTTGCCCCATGGAGGGCGCGAGTCAACCCGGGTGGCCCGTGGAGAATAAATGGCTGGAGTTTGAAATTAAAGGGACTTGCGGTTACAGAATGGATGTCTATGGGAGCATTGGTTGATATACGATTAATAGCTCCACCTAGAGGCCCGTGGGGACGGCGTGGCTGATGACGTCCCCGAGTTTGGTGTAGATCGGCCATTGCAAACGTAAGATATCACATCCAGTTTTTTGCGTTTCTGCAAAAAGATTTTAGCTTATAATTTGGATGTTTTTTGGCGGATCAAAGTTCCCTTTTACAAAGTTTTATCGGCTGGGTGTCGATCAGACTTGCGGCTTTGGAGGAGTAAATTAAAATAGGTTTTTCAGTTTTTGCGATGTAGCGAAAAAAAAGTTTAGGCAGAAATGGGTGTGGCCTGTACATGCAGTGGTTTGGACCTACACTGTGAGACATAAGACAGGTAATAAATTACCACACAAAAGCCTTCCTATAAAAGTACCTTTTGAGGAGTGATTTAAACATAGGTACTGATTTAGCTGACCTAAGTTCGTCATGTAGGGATTTCCACAGTTGAGGGCTTTAACAGAAAGTGTTTTGTTTTTTTAAAGAGGTGGGCTGTTAAAAGTGTTCTTCCTTTTGAAGAAGTGGCATGAGTAAATCTATAATGTAGGTAGGAACAAGGCCATATAATGCTTTCTGTAGTGGACAGAGTGTTGGGCTGTCCTGGTCCCAGAGAAAGTTTTTCCAGGTCCTGTTACCTGTACCTGTTAATGGAACATAAAGTTACGGATCATCCACATAAAAGTGGAAATCAATCGTGTACCTCCAAGTTTTCTGATCCAAAGAAAGCATATAAATACAAAACAGTTTAGGTCCAATAATTGACCCATGTGGGGAGATTTCAGGATTTCAGTGTCATATGGAACCTAAAAACATCTATTTAATATAAGAAATACTTATATTACATATAGTCATTTAGCTGACGCTTTTATCCAAAGCAACTTACAATTGCTATACATTTCAGAGATCGCACATCTCTGGAGCAACTAGGGGTTAAGTGTCTTCCTCAGGGACATAATGGTAGCTGGGTCACAGAGGAGGTTTGAACCTGGGTCGCTCACACCAAAGGCATGTGTCTTATCCATTGCGCCATCACCACCCCAATATTAAAAGTATCTAATAAAATATCAACAGAGAGATTATTCCGCTTACATGTGTTAAGGTTTGTGGTTTCATGTAATGTGTCCATCTTGACTTCCTGGATCTCCCCAGTCCCTTAAACAGTGGTGCTCCTACCAACATAGCCCCCTGTTTTAACACAGGTCTGTTTTCAGTCTGAATTCATACTTATTTTTAATCTTGTAATTTGACAACCCTGGACAATTACAGTTTAGATTTCCATATCATGATATCAACATAGTAGTTTTTGTCTGAAAAATGGAAATGATTTGAATCTCTTTGGTGTTGTTTAGGAAGTACTTTGGCGAGAAGATTGGTCTGTACTTTGCCTGGTTGGGTCTGTATACGCAGATGCTGATTCCTGCCTCTCTGGTGGGGGTCATTGTCTTTCTGTATGGATGTGCAACAGTCGATGACAACATACCAAGGTAAACACACACAACAAGCACATACATGAAGCAAAGACTGTGAGCTTTTTTAAGTGGAAAACTTGATTGTCAGCCTGTTGAATCTTTAACCAGTCGTTCTCTGCAGCTTTTTGTCTTACTGAAGCTGTTGCTGCTAATTCAACATGTCTTGCTTTTTGCTAATGTACAGGGAAATTCCCTTTTTCCCTTTTCCCATTGCAGTTAGCAACAGGCAGTATTTATGAGATGATTTTAAATGACGTTAATTACATTAAATGACGTTGCAACTATAAAACAATGTTTGTCAGCTTAGCTGTTAGTTCCATTACTTAACAGATGTTTTCTGTGATGCAGTTTTGTTGTTTGCCAACTAAAAAGAGGGCGAAGAATAAGTAATTTAATTATTTTTATGTTCTGTTTTGACTGTGGACAGAGGTCTCTACCAAAATGACATGGAAATGTTAGTGTGGACACAAGTCCTTTTGACAGTTTAAAAATTGGATGGTGTATTGCACACCTTAATGTCTGGCTCAAAAGCTAAAAGGAGACTGTTATTTGGAAAGACGGAGCTCCTACATGATGTGGGACGGTTTTACAATGACCCTACAAATAGGTCTGAGAATATGGTAGGGCTGCCTCTAAGTTGTAAATCTGTGTGGCACTGGTTCTTAAAGTTCTACAGTTGAAAAGGATAACAGTTATTTGATATCCCTCCAAATTTAATACAGGGCTCTACACTAACTTTTTTGCCCAGGAGTACTGCTCCCACACACAAAGAAATTTAGAAGTAAGTGAACATTACACAGTAACACAGTTTATTAACAAACAATTTATTAGGGTTCAAACCACCAAGCAGTAGAACCCTTTTATGTTTGTCTGTTTTAGTTTTTATTATTATGATTATTATTATTAGAGTTCAAACGGCAAAGCGGCAGAACCCTTCTATTTTCGTCTGTTTTGGTTATTATTAGGGCCCGAGCACGAACCTTGCGAGGTCCCTATTGAAACTGAAGTGATTTTTTTTCTCTTTTTTCTGCAAAGTAAGCTCATTTATGGGGGTCTAAACATGCTTAAAAACTCACCAAACTTTGCACACTCCTGCACATGGGCGTGACAAAATGGCTCGCTGGCGCCACCTAAAAAATTCGAAAGAATTTGCCACTTGGCCACGTTCAGCCTACATGCACAAAATTATTTGGGGAAATATATCAAGACACACAAAAAAGCCTCAAGGACCCACACCCTTAACGCAACAGGAAGTCCGCCATTTTGAATTGAAAGTGCAATTTTAACCCATTTTATACCATTTACAGGGCGCATACTTTAACATCAACTTCAAATTTTCGCTTCGATGTTACACGCTTTGCCATGACACAGGAAGTTGTTGTAACTTCACTGTACATGCTCACATCCAGAGTTGCACCCTGAACACATCCACATGCTAACATTCACTCATTATCATAGCGCTACCTGCTGGCAACAGGAAATGCAGCCTCCACGGCATGTTTCACCTACATGTATGAAATTTATGTGGCACATGTATCATATCCAGATGTACCAAAAAGCCTAAACCCAACAGGTAGTCAGCCATTTTCAATTTTATGGTCATTTTTGGATGATTTACACACTCCGTACTTTAACTCCTCCTAGGGATTTAGTCTGATCGACTTCAAACTTTCGCTGTGCAGTCTAAACCCACTGATGATTAGAAGTTGTACAAACAGTTATCATCAGTCGTATATGGCGTGTCGTCAAAAATCGACAATTCGACGTGAAACAGGAAGTTGTTATAACACGAAGGGAACAGAGGAAGTGACGTAGAGCTCCAGAATCTGCAACACGTCCACCTCACACCTCGACATGCTACACGTGCGAGGGCCCACCCAATGCTGCTTGCAGCTTTAATTAGTTGTCTTGGCTCTTTATTATTTATTTATTCTACGTCTCTTTGTCATCTATCTTCTCCTGCACTGTTTGTCGTAGAAACTTTGTTTCAATTTCAAAATGTACATCATGTTCAGGAGATTTATGTTATTACCTGTGTTGCTAATATCTGTAATGGCTGATTTTATATTAATATTTTTATGTGAATAAATGAATGGATTTCAATGGGAGCAGAGGCTCTACTTTCTTCCAATCTACTCAACTTTAAGAGCTAAATGCTCCGGCATATGTGCAGCTACAGACTCCATTTGAGCTGTAAGTTGCAGAAAAGATGTGGATTTTTCAAATTTGTATTTGGTGTTTGCTAAAAAAAAAAGTTTACTTTAGTCCTTCCAAAGTGAAGGGGTTCACAGCTTTTATAGACTTAATTGTTGTGTCATGTGATCACCTTAGAGTGTGGAGAGGATTTGGCAGACCAGGTTGTTTTTTTTTGTAAACTGCTGCCAGTCGTGTATATTTATCTCTGTAAGTACAAAAAAGGCACCAAAATGCCTTTCCTTAAAAATTGCAAAATCTTGCTCAGTAGAGGTTTAGTTTTTTGTCTCTGAACCTCAATTGATAGGAAACTCATGTCTTTCATTTACTCCCTGTTGTAGCTGCAGGCTGAGTTGTCCCCCTGTAACCAATTCTTTAACTCGCTATATCTTCCATACATGATACTTGGCACAGTAACTCAGACAGATGTGCCCGCACTTCCATAGAAATATTACACCAATCGACCAGATGGAGGCGCTGTATTTGAGGTAAAAAAACTTTTCAAAGGCCACCTACTTCACACCATAAGTCCTATTGACTTGAAATTTCTCACAGAAGCCCAGCTCAGGGTGCTCTATAAAATACCACCAGGGTTCATTTAGATACGCCTACAACAAAGAACAAATATATAAACATATTTTTTGAATCTACTCCTACACTGTAGCTCCAATTGCCACCAATGGTTCATCATTGGACTTAACATATATAAAATGGTATAAAGCTTGTTGATAGCTCCTTTCATTTTCAAGATATTGACCAATAAAATTGTAAAGGGGCGTGGCTCAGGACATAAATAGACAAAAATCCGCAACTGTTGGTGCAATCATCACAAAACTCACAGAATATGTCCCCATGAGTGCTGGAAATATACTCTGAAAGTTTCATTCAAATCGACCACTAGGGGGCCGCTTTAAATGCATCGTAAATGGACGTGGGATTATTCAAATTAAGCTATAAATCAGAAAATCATTACTTAAACTTATATAACCACGTGTGTAAAGTTATTTTGAAGTTGTTAATGCGAAAAAGGTCTGAACCAGCAAATCGCATCATGTATGGTGTAAGAACACTTTCAAACTTTCATATTCGTATATTTTTAACATTTATGCATCCATGCGTTTTCATACATGTGAGTCAATAAATTACATTTCTGTTTTTATGTGAGTGTGACTCTAGAAGCTATGACTGTTCACATTCATGAGTACAACTCTGATTTCTAAGACTACGAATTCTTCACTATGAACACAAATTCAAGTATGTGGGTACGAGTCAAGAACAGCTGAAATGACATCACAGGACAGGTTATCGAACCTCGATTCCATCTAACGCGCATGCATCAGAGGTGAAAGATGGCTAACAACAGACCTGAGGCTGCTAGCCTAGGCTCAGCATCACAGGTAAAGTAAATAATGTTTCATTCAACATTTTTTATACGATTTTACTATTTTTAGCACTTTATAATGATTTACATTTCTGACATTATTGTTTTAGGTTTCAACCTAATGATATTTACTCGCTGTTAACTCTAGTGCTAGACGACGTTAGCGTTGATGAAGTGCTCTGTGTGAAAGTAACGTTAACCTTATAACGGTAACGTTAGTTAACTTAGTGATGTTACAACTGTTTCGCCGATTGACACTGAACTGCAAGATCTACCATAACGTTACCTGAAATAAACTTCACTGCTATCATATGTTTAGCAATGTCAACCAGAGCAGTAATAACAACTGAGCCAGATGTAGTAATTGTTTTAGCTTGCAAGCTAAGGATAACGTCATTTACACCTCTTAGTTTGCCAAAATACTTCAGTTGTGCTGTTTTATAAGTCTATCTAGCCAAACGTTACATAATGTTGAATTGGTACGGATAAGTTAACGGTAGGCATATGTATTTTTGACATTTACAGGGACCATTGGCTACTCAGCTACTGCAGCGTCTGGAATCAAGGATCAGTGACACATTAAGTCAACCATACTTTTATTTGGACTACTTCCAGTATGTTGTAAATTAGGAAGCCTTTATACTGACATCTGCATCTACTATTTTAAACATCCCAGCTGAAATTGTGGAGTGTCTTTTATCCCTTCAAAGAAAGATCCACGCAGCTCTTTCCCAGAGAATCCCTGTGTTTTTAGTAGAGAAGGAGGACGCGGCTGACCAAAATCTAGTTTTTCTGAGGAGCTGCTGTCCAGGCTCATTGACATGCCCTTACTAGTGTCTTGTATCGCCAACCTGCTGGGTGTCAGCCAAAGTACTATTTTCCGTATGCATGAACTCGGATTGTCCACAAGACGTACATACAGCAGTTTATCTGACAGTGAACTGGATGATGCTGTGCTGACCATAAAACCAGGATCCCACGGGGTACAGAATGGGTAAAGGTTGTCTGCAAGCAAATGGACATAGAGTTCAGTGGAATCGCATTAAGGAGTCCATGCACAGAGTCGACGCTCCAGATATTTTGGAAAGAACACAGCTGGGTGGCATCGTCAAGAGGACATACTTCTACAGCGGCCTTTGTCATTAGTGCATGTGGCCCAAGCCATAAGCTCATAACGTAAGGTTTTCATTTATTTATGTACTTTATTATTGGTGTTGAGTTAATGTAGCTCTTTTATTGCTGCTCATTGTCTCATTTTTTGATTTCATGGTACAACATCATCATATTTGGTGCAATAGATGGTTACTCAAGAAAGGTGCGCCACTTTTTTAATACTTTTTTATAGTGCTTTATTGTTCCTGTATATGTTTATGTTCATGGATTCACTGTTGATAGACTTCATATGGGTCCGTCCGCATTTGTTGTTTTTGAATCCAAAACG